TAAAGTATATCACTAGCACACCAAAGTAAATTCTTCAACGAGTGGTCATTTTACTGATGTACACACATCTCGTCATAAAGCAACGTTTCTGGGCCACTCAGGGTCCCTTCATCAGGCATGACCATGCGCGAAGACGTTCCGGCGGGGTGTCACCCTCTACCTGTTCGGGATGCCCCTGATCAAGTACAAAATGTGGCCGCAGATGCAGATTTGTTTTATGGTTCATAGTTCCTTCAAGGACCTTAAGCCTTAAATTTTTATACGGTCTGGTTATGTGTTGCTGTTTATTTATAAATGTTATTTATACTGGTTTTGTTAATAAATGGCTGCTGTGGCCATTGAACTCCTTCCAATGGTGTAGTGGTATCATTTAGTACAGGGAAGGATTTGGGGGTTTACATGGTAAAGGGGGTTTAAAGTGGAGAAAGGGGACCTCTGAACTACCTTAGTCAAGGTTAGGAGGAGGGAATGGCTAAGTGTGAGGGTGATGGTGTTCAGGATAGGTGATAGCCGAGGGGGAAGGTAAGAGGGAAATTTAGGTTCAGGCAATAAAAGTCACGCACCCAAATGTCTAGAGCCCCTAAAGATCCCATGCTGCATAGTTTCACTATTTAAGTGTCGATGTTCCTGCTGATTGCAGCACATTGAAATTAAGGATGGGCTGCATGTTCGAGTCGACCATAGGTTCGACTCGAACATTGCATGTTCTAGCGTTCGCCGAACGCCGAACATTATGGGATGTCCGCGGTCTGTTCGACCACGGCACATCCCACAATGCACTGCGCCGTCCGAAAACGGTAATTGGCTACAGTCCTGCACCTGACCGTAGGTCAGGTGCAAGACTGTGCCAATCAGGGCTCAGTACAAATGTAGAGCCATGATTGGGCAGAGTCACGATGACTCTGCCCAATCATGTCTCACAGCTAAGTCCCTGCAGCACACTATATAAGGCTGCTGACACCGCGGCCCCATGTAGTGTGCTGTAGGAGATAGAGAGGGTTCTAGTATAGTTAGTTACAGTCAGCAATAATTGAAATGTCCTTTTATCTGTTTTGACAATGATTGCTATTGTCCCCCAAATGACAGCCCAGACACTGATTTTATGAAGCTAGCAATTTGCTGAGCACGATAAATCATTTATGTATTACTTCTCACATTGTACAATCAGCTAACAATTTATATTTGCCACAAGCAAAAATGATTCTTCCTTAGAGAATGTCAGGCAGCCTCGGATATCTTTCACCAGACAAGACAGCCTGGCGTAATGAGATGTAAATGGCAGGTAATTACCACCACTTAGGGCTTGAGATTCTCAAACTGACAACAGAAAGGATTCATTTGAAGTCTTCGGAACAATGAATCTAAAGCCAAGTCACCGAGAATTTGAAATCTGAATGTTCCGAATATAAAGAGAAAACCTCAGAATATCTCAATAGCTAGACTCAGATTAGATTTACTCTATTACCTCTATTACCTCTAGATTGTTCCTATAGAAAGCTGTGCTTTTCAGATGTTCTTCTGATTGAACTAAAAAAAAATAGTTTACAAGTGTTGAGATTGAACATTTTGTTTCTTCTCATGCATGATAATGTCTTCAGTGCACTGCAGGTATTGATCATGAAAAATACTTATTCTAACAGCCTGTAGGTCTATATCAGGGGTACGCAAACGTCGGCCCTCCATCTGTGGTGCAAGAACAAATCCCAGGGCATCGCAAGACTCTGACAGCCAGATACATGATTTCCAGAGACAGACGCATGTTGTGATTTGTAGCTTCACCACAGCTAGAGGGCCAGAGTTTGCCTACCCCTGGTCTTCATCATTGCTTTATTGTTTGTTTCCAAGTGTGCACTGCTAATGGTCACTAGAAAGATGGGACCTTATAATGTTTTGGAACCTCTTGGTAAGCATTAAACAAATATAAGGATGGATAGCTCACCCTATTGAATATACATGGAGTTCTATACCATGTGCAGTCTGTGTTCCTCATGTATGTAGAGGCCAGAAAGATATTAATCAGCTCAAGAACAGAAGTCTATGAAAGCTGACTTCAGTTAATCAAATTAACAAACAATGCTCAGGCATCAGAGATAGGAAACACATTCCTTATCTTTCCATGGAATAATATTCCTGCTGAACAGTTGCATGAGAACTATCTGAAGGCCCCAGAGACATGAGATAGTCACTGATGGTTGCCGGAAACATCTGGATTTAGAGTCACTCATCTCAGGTCTACAGGCCCGTAGTTCTCCTCTGGATGCCTTGGGGTTGGCCAACAGGGTTGCACAATGAAGATCTCATGAGAGTTGTTGTGGGTAGGTCTCAAAGGATGCCATGGGTGTGTTCCTGTACATAAGATTGGAAACAAATCGAATGATGACAGGGAAAGCTAAAAGCTGTGAGAGGGTGACCAACAACAGTAAGTATCAGGTTGAGAAGTGATTGAGGAATAATGGAGGTCATTCAGACATAAAAGGAAGATGGGCTTAAGATAGTTGTTGAATGGGTTATATTGTGGAGAGGCAATGAGTAGGGGACTTGCTACAAGTTTTGGGGGGAAGGTAAGGCTGAAATTCAGCTTCAAGTATTATACAACTGTGCCTTCATGAGTGAGGTGGGGATAATAGATATTAGTTGCTTGCCAAGGTATGAGGCTTCCCGTGCATACAAGCTCGAGGTCATCCATTGCCTGCAAAGGCATTGCATTGTGTATACCCCCCATCCATTTGAGATGCAAAGATGGACATCTCTTAGCATAAAGTACATAGGCAAAGGACACACACCTACCAAGTTCCTGTTTATACAGACCATGAAGATTCTTGGAGGTCTAAACATTAGATGAACAAGAGGCACAAAACAGACAGAGGGATTTGTTTCCAAGATTGGGGCAGTTCTTCCAAATGAACATATGGAAGCTGTAAATCGTATGTCTTCTTACCCTACAGTAGCAGGAACTGCTTTAGGTCAGCCAGCAATTGTGGCATGGCCCTCGAGGTTTCTTTAAATCAGTAATGTACAATCATAGCGACTGACAACTCACAAAAAGATTATGTAGGAGCCTCAGGCCGAACTGCCTCTGGAAAGTGATGTTGGCTTCTTCTGGTGGTCTAAGTCATTACTATCAGAAGGGCCTAGAATGGCTGCTCTGCTGTCAGGTATTTGAATAGTCCTCTAGGGCCTCCAGTTTATTTGTATCGGTCTACATCCTCTGCTGCTCCCATTCTGTCGCTACTCTCACAAAATGATATATCAGTGTCAAATTCCGACCTCGTATGTCTGGTGACTCAACTGCAAAATGTTGACATTAGCTCATGGAGGCTCACAAGCTGTTTGCCGTTCTCTTTTGTCTTTAGCTCTGTGCAGCTTTGGGATGGAATCAGCCTCTGTACATGCAAGGGGAAAAGTCCTCATTGCTCAACAAAAATGTGTGTGATCTGGGGATTATTTGCGTTTTATATATCAGCGAGGGTTAAAGAAAATCTGATGCCAACACAATTTTTTAAACTTTTGGTTAGATTGTGGGTGGGTAAGAAGAGATTTACTATTTGTTCTGTTGACCACTGTCACTGGGACAGAAAATGAAAAGTAATCCAAAAGTTTGCAGATGTCACTGGAACAAGAATGGATGAGAAAACCTCCGATTGAGGAAGCCTATGCTGGGGTCAACTATATAAGATGTATTTTCTCTCACTTTGGAAAGATTCCATCACCCCAATGGGACACAGCAAAAAATAAAAATAAAATAAAATATTCCCTGCTCTATCCACAATTAAAAAGCATTTTGGTTTTAGATATACGTTAGGTAAGATGCGTGGCGAATATCATGAGTTACCTTAATTGGAGAACTGTAACAAAAGTCACCTTGCTTCTTGTAAGCATGAACATGACAGCCATTATTACTGTTGCTTCTCTTGAGTGTTCTTCGGAGGATATTTCATAAACTGGAACATGCTTTCAGATAATTTGGAAGTTGGTCCGGGCTGCTGCTTGACCAACAATTCTGGCTGTATTCCATGGGAATCCTTTGAACTTCTATTGTACTGCATGTACTTGTACTGTGGTATTTTTATTATACATCATTAAATGGGTCCCTGCTGGGGGTTTGTGAGTTTATACCTCATAAAACAGGTACAATTAAAACGAATCCTACCAGGAACAGGAAGACATTAAACTACTTGCCTAGACCATTATTAGCTTAGACAAGCCCCACGCATGTCTCTATGGGAATTAAAGTATATCCAATAAGTGTAAAATTCCGGTTTTCATTTTCTGTCCAGTGACACATAAATTGAGAAATTGAATCTCCCTACTGCAACTCTTCTAAACCAGGGTTCCGTGAAAACCTAGGGTTCCTCCAGAGGTTACAGAGGTTACAGAGACAGACGTTAGGTGTTTTTTGAGCGGTGGCTGATTGACCTCCCTTTTGATGGTTCCTGCCTAAACCAGGGTCCAATGCCTCTTGGAAGAGACAGTGGCATGACCCCAATGATCTTATCTGTCTGTTAGGGTGGCATTCTAACACCACTGTAAAGGGGGATGTTCTTCCCACTGGCCACCAACTCTTATTAACCTTGATTAATTTTAGCAGGGATTCCCAAAGACCTGCAAATTATTTCAAGGGTTTTTCTGGGCTAAAAAGGTTGTGAAAGGCTGCCCTAGCGGTTACACATACAGCAATAAAAACCTGATGGAGGTTCTAAACCTTCTGCACTCCATCCAAAACAAAAAAATGTTGACTTTAGATACATTTTGTCTAAGCTTTGAGGGAGTAGAGATTCAGTAGCAGCAGAAGAACCTACAGTTGACCAATCTAATAAACAGGGTAAGTCCTTGTCATCTTCACACCAGTGTGCAACTAGTACTATTTTTTCAGTGTGGTGTGCAATGGAGCAGGGTTAGACCAGCATACTACTGTTTGTTTCATGATTTGGTGCTCGGCACCAAATGGTTGTTGTAAGATTAAATTCTCCTTTTTTTAACTAATATCTTGTTTTTTTCAGGTGTCACATGATTTTGCAATCAACTTCAACCCTGATGATGATGAATGTGAAGGTAAGCAGAGGCAGCTTTCAATGCAATTTTTCTGTGCATGCATGATGCAACTTTCCACGTTCTGTGGGGATTGCTTCTGAAATCCTTTGTGAAAACTGGTTCTCTGTAATTATTCTTGCATCTAAACCGACCACATGCCATGACCAGAGGCCTATTTACCGTGAGGCAAACACGGCATTTGCCTGGAGCGGCATTTTGCAGGGGGGCGGCGAAAATGTCACCCCCAAATCAGAGAGGAAAGCCGGCACCGGGAGCACAAAATCAGGCAGCCTCGGCTGCCTAATCAGATGGTTGCTGGTGGGGCCTGGCAGCGAGCTGCCGGGTGAAAGAGGAGGCAAAGGCATGGCCAGGGCCAAGGGAGACGTGGCCCAACCCAGCCGGCGGAGGCTGTGGGTGGCTGGAGGAAGAAGCTTTGGCAGCTGGAGGAAGAAGCTTCGGCGGCTCCAGGCTGGAGGAAGAAGCGGCATGTCCTGGAAGCAGGCTGGGGAGCTGTAGATAAGAGGAGCAGCAGGTGTGCAGGGAAAGAAACCCTGCACAGCTCATCATAGATTCTGCACAGTCCACCTGTGTCTCTATGGTGGGCTGTGCAAGGTCTGTAGTGGGCTCTGCAGGGTCTCTGGTGGGGTTTGCAGGGATTCAGGTGGGCTGTGCAAGGTCCATGGTGGGTTGTGCAGGGTCTTTGGCAGTCTCAGCCTGAGACCCTGCAGAGCCCACCAGAGATCCTTTACAGCCCACCTGAGACCCCAGCTTCCATGCAACGCATATAGCACAACCTGTCAGAAGCTGTATCCAGCAAAATGTCTTGCACAGGAAGGGGTGGGCCAAATTTAGATGGGGGGGGGGGCGAGTTTCATCTTGCCTAGGGAAGCACGAAACCTAAATACACTGCTGACCATGACCCCAGTGCAGTTTCCTAAAAATAATGGCCCTTTTTGTGAAATGAGAAGTAAGGGCACATGGGTCCTTATTTTTATTTTACTTCTTCTACATGTGTATAAGTGTTACAGGCCTGGAGACCCAGTAAAGAGTAAGTATTTTTATTTTTTATACAAAAGGGTTGTCTTTTTTCAAATAATGCTTATGTCTTTTTATTAGGCTTTGTACATAACGTTAGTAAAACTTATATCTTTCTTCTTTCCCGGTGTCTGCAGGGATTCAGGGCATAGTAGAATCCTACCAGAATTGCCTCCCTAAAATTCAGCTGTATGGACCCACCAATGTGGCACCTATCATATCCCGGGTAGCGCGGCTGGCAGCCGAGGAGGAGAGGACCAAAGAAGCTTCGGTGGGTATAACAGTATCATGAGGAATACCTTGTACAAATGGTTGACACTGCGCCTTGTGAAGGGATGAGGAACGTGATGCCTATAGCAGCCGATTTACTTGATTTTCTTTCCCAACTTACAACAGTAAAATTACAGCTTGGATCTGATTGGTAGCCACATGCAGCACCTCCTTTTCCCTCCTCCCGTTGGGGCACACAAAGCCCATTGTGACCACCAAAGTTATACTTATACCATGCCATGAAACTGACCCGTTTGTCTTATTGCAGAAATATTACATACTTCTCATTCTCACGGATGGAGTGGTCACAGATATGGCGGACACACGGGAGGCCATAGTGCGGGCATCCTACCTGCCCATGTCCATTATTATTGTGGGCGTAGGAAACGCAGATTTCACTGACATGCAGATTCTGGATGGCGATGACGGCATTTTGCGAGCACCCAAAGGGGAACCTGCTCTCCGAGACATTGTTCAGTTTGTTCCATTCCGAGAATTCAAAAATGTAAGTAATGTTCTATCCCACCACTGCATGGTGTTAATTGATGTCATTGTTGCATATAAGAAAGGACCATTTTATCTTTCATAGGGTAGGGCAAGGTGTACGATCACATGGTAAATAAAATCTTATACTGCACCCTGTTATTGTAAGGCTGAACTTCAGGCAAAAAGCTAAATACACAGATAAAATACATATAAGGGAGCTGTTTTACCTGCCACAGAATTTGTATTTATGCCCATCCAGTTGTAAGATTTACACAGCTCTGCCTCATCTAGTCCATCTGGGGTAAGGGAGGGGTAGTCCTGTTTTTTCTCTGCTGTTTGACAGCTGATTGGCCCCTAGTAGTGATTCTCCCACGCCCAACCCGAGCTCTGCTGTACAGGCTCTGCAAGACACTGATGCCAAGTCAAATTCAGGCAGTTACCCAGCTTTTAGGAAAATACATGTACCTATGTATTAATAAACACAAAACTGCATTATGTTGTGCATTATATACCTGCCTGGGGTCCAGCTTTTATGTGTAATCTAAGCTTCGGTTATTGAGCTCTATAAACAACAGGCTTTTTCAGTAAGGTGGCTATGACTAACCTAGTATACAGGTGAAAGCGAGTCTATAGCTCCACCTGCTGGCAGGAAATAGTAAATATAAAATACTTACATACCTGACTAAAAATGATTCTTAACTATTCTTTTTAGTCCAAAGCTTAGCAATAGAAAATAACACTGCGAAATTCCTTTCTTAAGGATATATTAAGTTATTCTTCATTTCTCATTATTCTTTTAGTAAACTGTCTGTTTCCCATGAAAACCAATTAGATTCCGACATTCAGTTTCTAACTAGAAAAAAGATGGAATTGGTTGCTGTGTTCAACACACATAGTTCTTCCTTCATATACGTAGATGAATGAGGCTTTTTCTGGCAAAGCCTGGAATGCATTATTATCTTTGTAGTTGATTTTTTTTTTCTTTTCACCACGCATGTTATGGTTGTGTGTTTCAGGCATCCCCGGCTGCCCTGGCCAAATGTGTTCTGGCTGAAGTACCCAAGCAAGTGGTAGAATATTATAGCTACAAAGTCTTTCCCCCACGTTGTCCAAAAGAAGAATCCCCGGACTCTGCTCTCAACTCTCCTCAATGAGCTCTTCTTTAACGTCTACATTCCCCACCTGCCCTTGGATAGAGCAGGAGGCTTGCAGCCCACAACATTCAAACTATTGCCCAACAATACCATCTCTTCTGCACAGCTTTTTTTCCATTCAGTCAATCAGACAGCTGAGATCTCCATGAATTCTATTAGTGAGGGCCAATGAGCATTACTGACTGCCATGACACTAATTGGTTTGTATACACCAATGCTTCATGAAGCCTACAGAGAACAAAGTGGTGTCAGCTATTACATATATTCAACATTGTGCAGATAATGTTCATTCTAATGGTTCTGCTGATAGTTTTCCAGGGCCCTGACGCTCACTTTTAACTTGACATGCCAATGAGACCGTGAATGAAATCACAGCTAATTCAGACAAATAATATTGAACTGGAAAGACTGACGTGCAGTAACCGTACGTGCCGACGTTTGGACAGCCTGAGTCTGCTGATCATTTGAACCAATGCTTAGCCTAAAATTCTTGGTGGCATCGCTGAATGAGAGGTCAAGCAACAATCCATCTCCCGCATCCTTTTATGTTGTGTGCTTTGGTGGACAGGAGCAGCTATGAAATCCAATTAACCGGGCAAATCTCCAGATTCCTGTTTTATTCTTACAAGAAAAGATCTGAGATGGCAAAGTACGTTTCTTTTGAAATGCAAGCCTTTCATAAGCTCAACCTAACACTTCATTAATGCTTGTTTCAGTTTTTTTTCCCCTCCTTATCTGTGCAGTCAGACACCGAAGGGCCCGTAGAAATCTAAATTATCAAGCACATGTTGGCTCATTAAAAGTGTCTACAAAGGGATCTCATGGGTCTCGGCAGCTTGCATAAGAACACAAGTCCATGTGATTTTACTTTTGATATCTATGAAATTAACACATCTGATAGCAAGGCAAAAAAGGATCCGTGGGGGGGAGGGGGTGAAAAAGGGGGGAGGTGCATGAAAAGGGCTTCTGGGGTCTCTTGAAGCCATCTAAAGAGGATGCAAATACAACTAGATGAGATGCCTGTGGATGAGCAAATAAGCTTCACATGTCTTACATTTCGCTAACCTTGAATTCTTGGACTTTTCATATGCTTTGAGTTAATGACGAATGACTGTACACTGATTTTTTTTTTACAATGAGTCATGTTCCAGCATCCTCTCGAACCATACACTGATATGACAACTGTGACACAAAGGTATAAAATCATCACTTACAATAATAGTTTGAAGCTCTCATACAAAATGATTATACGTAGCTTTGAGAAAAGTTTATGTTAGATGTAAGATATATTTATAACCTACATGCAGTGCTACACTAAAAGCAAAACACATCCGCTGCTAATATTTAAAAGAAACTTGTACTCATTCTACCCTTTGCTACTGAAGTCCTAATGGATTGTATGTGCCCTTTGTACCTTAAATAGTTTCAAGCAGTTGTCTATGAGGGTATGAAGGTGCTGCTAAATAAGGAAATAACAAGAAAAATAAGCGCCTTCCTCGTAAAAGAGCCTGGGGTGGAGCAATATATCAATCAGCAGGATCTCTATTACCAGATATATGACAGAGATCCAGTTTCAGAGAGGGAGGCTCTGGATATCCAAATGATCAGCAGGGGAAGCTGCTGCAGTGAGGTGGTGGTGGTGGGGGGGGTTAACTTTGACTGTTCAAAATCAAAAGTTACATTAGATTTGCAGGACATCTTACAAAGCACCCCGGCATTGGATGGAGAAAAGGGTAACACTTTTTGGACCTCATCATGCTCTAATAGGATATGTGATTAGTTCAACTCTTTTTATCCAAGTACAGGCACTCTTTGAATAGAACCATTAGCCAGGCTCCGGACATTTAAGTATTCACGTATTCTTAACAATGTTTCACAAAAACTTTAAAACAAAGCTTCAGTGACCTCTGCAGTTGCAGGCACGGTGGAACAATTCATCCTTGAAGTTCATAGTATCTCATAGCAGTCGGCCAGGGCAGAGTGTTGCCATGACAAAAATAAAGGTGTTATGGCCAAGACTATTTCTGATCAACTGTACAAATTGGGAACATTATAGCTGTGAAACAATAGTATTCGCTAAATAGTCATGTAAGCATTAAGCATCAATTCACTGCAGTATTAGCCACACTGATAAAGTATTGGCCTTCACGTCCTAAAATTGAAGTAGACCAGTAAGTATTGGATCTATCCTTCCTCTGCCCTTTTCTGTGGCCCTTACTGGGATTAGGCAGAGAGAGCATGTCTGGCTATAGGTGGGAAATGGTTCACTATGAAGTGTGATATCTACCCTCAAATGTGCTGGTACAACCTTCTCTCTGGCACAGCCAATGAGTGTTGATGGTGATTGGTGAAAATAAATTCCCTTTTCACTGTTGGAAAAAGTAAGTCCATGCTTATAAAGAGAGTGATGCTGCCAACCGAGGAAACAGAATCAGGCAGCACACAGTGCAGCGGGTGGAATGTCCATACTGGACACTCCATCTTCAGTGCTGCTCAGTAAGTCTAAGCTTGATAAAAGCACAGGCTCAGTATTACGGAACTCCCTTCCTGGCCAATGCCTTCACATAACAGCGGTGGCGGACGTGGCATAGCAGGTTGAGGTTTAGGGTTGGCAGAGATGGTATGGCGGCGGGGCACCTGCTGCTCTGTTCCTGGAGAAAGTGTACAGCATGGCCAATAGCGTGGATTCCAACCTGCAGAGCTTCACAGAGTTGTACAAGCCAGAGGCCATGTCTGGAGTGGTCCCACAAGTGGGGAGGGTGCTGGAGAGCCTTGTGGCCATTGGGAGAGAATGGGCAGAGATGAGAGCCAGTCACCAGTCTATATATGGCTCAGCACAGGGGAACCTGTAACTGTATGAACCCTGCAACGCTACCCAGAGACAGCATTGTAGTTCCATGATGACATTGCAGTTCCACAGTGACCATAAGCGTATGCTTTAACACAATAAGATACAGCGCCGCATATAAGGCAGGTGCGCGGTACTGGGAAGGGGGGGGGGGGCTGGTAAACATTTCAGCATGTGCCCCAATATAGCTGTGGGTATACACATATATTTATACCTGAAGACTAAAACTCATTAAAACTCTCATCACTCCAGAAGTCCTGTATGGCCCAATCCTTGAGATGTAAGTACATTGCTTACAAGGATTAGACTGTGTGGGGCAATTCTAATTCAGGCTTCCCCTCTTAATTTTCAATCCACTGCTTTGGGGATGTCAGTGAGGGAAGGGCCCGACTACTTCATTTGTTTTAAAGCTGAGAGGAACAGTGTTTGGCTCAGCATGAAGCAAAGTCAAAGATTCCAGCAGTAAAATCTCTCCCCTGAAGACCCAGAAAAATATGAGAGGCCTGTGAGTACTTCAGATCAGCATTGTGCGTCTTATATTGAACAATTAACTTCAGGTGGGCTAAACTTTTAAGTGTACCTGTCATGTCTATGAAGTTATTACGCTGGCCTAACATGCTAATTGCATATATTTTTCTTTGCTTTCAAACCTTCTACTGCATGTCTTGGAAATCTAAAAACCTGAAGGTACACCACATGCAAATATGGCTTCAAGCGGGCCTGTTCCATCCACATCCCACGATACAATGTGTGTCCCTCTCTGGGTTGTTAAGGCGTATGCATAGCATTGTGGGAGCTGTGACCTTAAGCTGTAATATTTGCATATGGCACATCTGGCTTAGGAACTCTTTGGGTGGGCTGGAGAAAATCTTAGATAAAAGCATGATTTGTGAACGTGGTAAGTTTATTGTAATGATAGGTTCTCTTCAAGAAATGTAGTGGGCCAATCGTAGGCATATACTGATAGACCCCAATGTTTTTCATGAAAGGAAAATAGATATATATTTATGACATTGAGAGTATGATTTTTTTTTTTTCAAGAGAGGAACATATAGAGATATAAAAGTTTTATGTATATCTATTATAAAAGAATATAAGATGTATAAAAATTATATCATTAATTATTAAATTATTTTGAAACTATATGCTTATAACCATGGTTAGAAAAGAATGTTTTATAGCTCTGTCAAAGTTTACTCTTAAGTTGCTACCACTGTACATCGCATGCTTCATAAATACGGAAATGTAATGTGTCCATTCTGAATTAGGAGGCAGCTTAAAGTGACATTAAACCCTCAGACCTTTTAACATAAAACAATACTGTAATGTGTGCCTTACTGTAATCCATGGTAGTTTCCCTTCTCTTTGCTGCTCTTCCTTTTAAATCCTCATGTCTTCTCATGCTTGGGAAGAACTTCCCTTTTCAGCTCAGGGCCTCTTCCTGTAGTGCTGGCTCAGGTTTCAATCCTATAGAAACATATACACAGACACCGTGTATCCATTCCTGAGACAAGGCAGTCTGCTGCAAAACAGAAGTTCTGCAGAGCATGAGAACAGATACAGATTTAAAAGGAAGAGCAGCAAAGAGAAGGGAAACAAACATGGATTACAGTAAGGCACACATTACAGTATTGGTTTATGTTAAAAAATCTGAGGGTTTAATGTCACTTTAACATTTATGGCCTTGTATGTTCTTTAGGGTGGAGTTGTGAGCCATCACGTGCTCTCCCGTGTCCAGGCTTGATTCCTGGTCCATCTGGTAAGACGGTCCTATCAGGGTGGACTCAGACAATTGCCTCTTTTGTTCCGTCATTAGTCCAGCCTCGTGCAGACAAAAACCTCTGACTTGCCAAGGGGACAGACTAGAGATGGAATATGTTGCTTTAGCTGAAGATGAACATACATCAAGAAATTAAACAGATCATGACCTAGTGGAGGGGAACAACAACTTTCGGGGCATTGCTGGTGTATTTGATGTTCCAAGGAATGGCAATGAAATCGGAAAGTTATTAATTACTTGTCAGAACTGAAACATGAAAGGGTCCATTGTTGACTTGTTTGTAAAGACGCAGGTCCCAGGACTGTCAGCCTGAGTCTGGATTTCCTACTTAGTGGGTTACTGACCTGGAACAAATACAAAGCCTGCGAAGTTCATTATGTTAGTTTTCAGTGCTTGGACCTTGGTGGTGGTAGTTTTCACCACAGAGCTTATGCAAGAAGGTGATGCCCTAATACTAACTCTCACATTGACCTTCTCTGTAACCCTAATACTAACCCTGCCACTGACCTTCTCTGTAACCCTAACATTAACCCTACCACTGACCTTTTCTCTAACACTAACCCTACCACTGACCTTTCATGTAACCCTAACAATAACCCTACCACTGACCTTTCCTGTAACCCTAACACTAACCCT